AGTTTAGCCTTATGACTTTCCAAACTTAAATTTTTTTCCAATTTCACCAAGATACCTTCATGAACAAGTTAACTCCAAAATCCATATTTCTCTTGAATTTCTTCAACCATAGGCCATATGATGTTGAAACATGATCATTGGCTTCAATTTTGACCAAAAGTCCATTTGGTCAACAATTGACTTTTGTAGACTTTTGCTCAAATGACCAGATAATCAAGATTAAGAAATTTAACCTCAAACAATGCCAATAAAAGGTAAACAATCCATATGAGAATGCCTTAAGACATATACAAGTCATTGAGAACCAAGTTGCTCAAGAAAAATGTCAGGAAATGCCTTTGTCAAAAAGTTGATTTTTCAGTCAACTAGGTCAAAGTTTCACCAATCATCCAATGCAATGCTTTGAGCAATCTTGTGATGAATTAAATGGTTATACTTGATAACTTGGGCCATAAATTAATCATATAAACCAAGTCTTGATGAAAATGAAGCTCACAACTCGAAAGGGGCCAAAACCCTAATTTCTGATTGAAGAACTTAGAAGATGGTGACTGAAGATCAAACCCTAATTTCTTAGAGATTCCTGAGAAATCCAAGGAGCCAGTGAGCTTGAATCAATAAGGAGCCAATGAACATGAGGTTCCACACAAATTTCCTTGAGAACCTTAATCTCTTAATTGATGGATAATCTTTAGACAAGATAAACCCTGGGAACATTGATGCCATGAGTGTAACAATGAATATGACCTAATGGTAAGTATGCAAATGTGACACAATAAACCAGATGAAAAGATATAAGGGTAGGACAAATTTGGGGTATGACACACATGTCTTCACTTCTTACACAAATCTCTTTGTAGGAAGCTGCCATTTCTTCATAAGAGGCATCCCATCACAATATTCTTCATCAGATTCACATCTTCCAAAGAGGGCAGTAACATGCTTAGCAGTTTCACCATCAGGTTCACCTCCAGACTCATCATCATCAGCCCAGGAAGCACAAAACCCCTTCTTTTGTTTCTTGAGGTAAGTGGGACATTATGACCTAATGTGACCAAAGCCTTCACATTCATGACATTGTATACCTTTTCCTTAATTAGGCTTCTCTTATATTCTTGCCTTCCTCTAAAACTCATTAATCTTATTGATATCGAACGACGTGTTCTTGATATTTGGTCTTGACTGCATATCCATTCTCTTCAGTACCTTATTGAATTACCTCCCAAGGAGCACAATAGCATTAGAAATGCGCTCATTAGTTTTCATCAATGTTGGAGATAAATGTTATGATTTTGTTCTTCTTTTTTGATATATCATTAATAGTCAGTTCAAAAGTTTGGAGAGACCCAATTAGCTCTTCTACTTTCAGGTTGCAAATGTCTTGGGTTTCTTTATGGTTGTGACCTTCATATCAAACTTCTTTGGCAGAGACCTAGGAATTTTTCTAACAAGCTTTTCTTCTAACGTTTTCTCTCCCAAGGCACTGGATAAATTGGCAATGTCAAGAATACTCATGTGAAACTCATGAATACACTCATCATCTTTCATCCTGAGATTTTCAAACTTTGTGGTGATAAGTTGAAGTCTTGACATTTTGACTTTTGATGTGCCTTCATGAGTGGTTCTGAGAACTACCCATGCATCTTTGACCACAGTAAGAGTATTTATTAGCCTAAATATATTTTTGTCAATACCATTGAACAGGGCATTCAAAGTTTGGAGTTTCCAAGATCAAGTTCATATTCTTCCTTAGACCAATCCTCTTCTGGATTAGGTGTTTCCTTCCCATCTTTGTCCTTAACCATAGGGTGTTCCCAACCTTTGATGACTGCTTTCCATGTTTTGCAGTTCATAGATTTTAGAAAAGCCACATACGTGCCTTCTAGTAATCATAGTTGGTGTCATCCAGAATTTTTGGCCTGTTAGTATTTCCTCCTTCCATGTCCATAGTGTCAGAAAATATCTTTCCTGGAGCTCACCTAAAAACATAACAAGATGTCTTCTTTGATGCCAATTGAAATTCTGGCACAACACGATATATGTCGTATATAATGTCACGACACCAAGATGACAAAAGCAATGATGAGAGCAATGTTAAGACATCGTAATAATATACAGAATAATAAACAATTTAAATTAATTTGTAGGAAGTAAATAACACATATCAATTGTTAACCTAGCTCGTTGCAAGGTCACCTACATCTGGAAGCATCCAAGCCAAGAAGGAAATGCACTATAGTTGTATTAGTTTGAAGTTTTAAACAACCTTTGGTTTTACGAACTTCGCACCTAATCATTACCCATGTAATTTCTATCTAAGACACTTCTAGATATGAGACCCCTTCTCACTTCCCTTCAATCACACAACCAATGATAAAACACAAAACAAACAAGAATGAGACACACTTCAATAAACAGAATCCGCTCTTGCTTAAAAGCTTATGAGTAATTCACAATTACAACTCAATTATCAGTCCAACTCAAGCAAAAACGATACATGAGAGGCTCAAAATGAACAATGAACAAACTAAATCCTAATTGACACTTTCACACAGCGGCTTAGTTGCCTTCATTGAATTGGAGTGTTTCTTTTTATAGCCAGAGAAACAACTTGGGTTTGAAGATCAAATCTGGCTAAACAATATGCAAATCAGATCAAATCTTCAACATAATATTTTGTGCAAAATATAATGTTTCCTTGAATGTTACGACATCCAATCTTGAGAAACAAAACAACTCAAATCAGATCTTTGATGCCTTGAGAAATATATGCTTAATTAACCACAGATTGTGCAAATCATATCTCCATCAAATCTTTAATGATCTTGCGCTAAAAATATATCTTCACAAAAGTAAAACAAATCTTGAGCTATGATGTTGCACTAACATGTCAGGACATCTTGTCCAACATCTCGCTGAATTACTTGTTTTAACAAAAGGCATCCAACACAACAAATCCTAACAATTTCAACGGACCAAAGTGTATGTGAAGAAAGAGGCACATGTGAATTTCTTGAATGATCCTCAAGAAGGGAGATCGACACTTCACCACCAAATATTTTGGTGTATGGGTGGATAGGAGAGAAACATGTATATATAAATTTGACTTATATTTCTCCACTGATGGGACTGAAGACTTCAGATTTTACTATAAAAGAGACAAGCCTCAAAACCTCTTCAAATAAAATAGTCAAATATGAAAAAAACGTGTTCGACAATTAACATGATTTTACATCATTGATCTTTGACAATTTTATTTTTTTATCACCATAAGTAATTTTTTTTTATAAAGAGGATAGATTTAGAAGTTAGTGCATTGCTAATTTTAATTTTAATAGGCATTTTTCATTAACTATTACAAAATAAATATTATAAATAAGATTCAACACTAGCCTCTTTTTATAATAAAATTAATCTTCTTAAAAATTATATTTATTATCTTATGAGACACGATATATATATATATATATATAATATATATATATATATATATATATATATATAATATAATATTATATATATATATATATATATATATATATATATATATATATATATATATATATATATATATTATATATATATATATATATATATATATATATATATATATATATATATATATATATATATATATATATATATATATATATATATATATATATATATATATCGTGTCTCATAAGATAATAAATATAATTTTTAAGAAGATTAATTTTATTATAAAAAGAGGCTAGTGTCGAATCTTATTTATAATATTTATTTTGTAATAGTTAATGAAAAATGCCTATTAAAATTAAAATTAGCAATGCACTAACTTCTAAATCTATCCTTTTAGCTGAATGAAGAATAGAGAAGTTAAAAAGAAAGTGTACTTTTTTTTTCCTAAAGAAAAATGTGTAAATACTCAAAAAAAAAACCAGACATGGCTATTTCAAGAGACGGAACTATGTGGTGAAGTATACTATGCTTTCAAGAAATATTAAAATATTATCATGATAAATTTATATAATAATTGATAAAAGCATATTTGTCTTAAACATAATAGTTTATTAATTAATCGAATGATGTTCTTTTTATGGATACATTCTTGTTTTTTACGGTTTCCTTGAAGATGTTTGTGAGTTTTTTATTTTAAAAGTCTATTTTAAAATTAAAATATATTCAGTTAAAATATAATTAAATTGGCTTTCTACTTAATTTCAAAACAATTTTTTATTAACTTTTTTTAAAAGGATTGTTTTATATATTTATTGATAATAAAATTGAGAAAATTACACAAATAAAAAATTGATAAAATTATAATATATATATATATATATATATATATATATATATATATATATATATATATATATATATATATATATATATATATATATATATATATATATATATATATATATATATATATATATATATATATATATATATATATATATATATATATATATATATATATATATATATATATATATATATATATATCTTCGGTGACACTTTCACTATAAAAGTTTAGAGATAAGATTTTTTGCACCAACATACTATTCAAATTATTTCCTTGACTTTTCTTCAATATGCAAATACATATTACATTCAAATTATTTCCTTGGCTTACCTTGTTCTTAATCAAGAGAATCCTACATATTATTGATCATCAAAAAGATGATAACATTGACCACAATAAAAACAACATCAAAGGGATTTTAGGAAGGACATTTCTAGACGTATTGCCCTTATTATCTGCAAAAGAAAAAACAAAATCACAATTAATACCTATTGTTACACATTCTAAACATATATACTACTACCTGTAAAAGTTTTCTATAATTGAGAAGTTTAATATGATAAATACCTTGAGGTTGAGGTGATGTATTGTTTTGTGCAAAAGGAGGAGGAGCTGAGAGTGGTGGCACCGGTGACGGTGGTGATTGTGATGGCGAAGACGACGGCGATGAAGATGGTGGTGGCGGCGAGGATGATGGTGATGACGACGGTGATGAAGATGGAGACGGTGATGGTGATTGTGATGATGTGGTTTGATAGAAGAGTGAATTGGTTTCATATCTCAAATAACAACTAGGTCTAAGAACTCTACCCCCTATCTTATTGTTACAACAATATGGAACTTGTTTGATAGATTGAAGCAAACAATCATCACAAGATGTTTTAGACAAATCAGGTGTGCATTGAACAAGACCATATAATGTATCATTATTATTCACACCAACCTTATCACTCCCAACAGCATATTTAAGGTTACTGTCCCCTGATGAAGCTCTCTTTCTCAAACCATCCAACAATTTCTTCACCTTTGCATTAAACTCATCTTCATTTGTTGCGTTGTTTATATTCCATTCAACATAAACAGGTCTTGTTTCATTGAGACCAAATATTGAACGGCTTGAATAACGTAGCATGCATATCTCATCATCGTACCAACCAATTGCTTCTTTTTGGTTTTGACAAGTTTGTGTTAGAAGGGCACTTGAATTTTTGAGACAGTTTTGACAATCATTGGGTTTGATATCTCCTCTGCAGAGACCAATTGCGTTTACTTTGTCGCTGTTTATGCCAAAAGAGGAATTGTAGAAACCGTGTTTGATTTGTGTGTTGGAAGTGAGAGTTGATAAAAGGGTTTTGAGATTTGTGTGGTAGACGCTGTTGTTTGTGTAGTTTCCTTTGTTGTTATCACACACGGGTAGGAATGATTTTGCTATGCTGAGTTGAGAGGTGAAAGTGAAAATGAAAATGAGAAGGAGACAAGAAAGAAACGAAGACATTGTACAAATGTATTGGAATATTGAAGCTTTAGAAGTAGACGAGCTTTTATTGAGATTTTGGCCAATTAAAAGTTGTATAATTTCTTTAAAATTTTGTATTTGTGTGATCTTGTCAATTTTTTGATAAATTTCTAACACTTCATTTACGTAGTTGACTCGTTGACTGAGAGTGACATGAACCTTTTTTCAAGGGTCTGTTTTCGCATTGCCCCTCGACAAAGGTCTTCATTGACTGACTTTGTCAACAAAAAGTGAAATAACTTCACACGCCACATATCCAATTAGAGCGTACTAATTGGGTGGTCTGAAAACTTGTACAAAATTTTGGGTTTGAATACACAAAATTGAGTCCGTTTATTATTCTGACTTTTAAGTTCAGCTTTTTAAAAGTTCAAAGTCTAATCGGGCTAATCCGATCAAATTGCGGATAATCCACTTATTTATTTATTTTATATAAGTTCTAACATATTTTATTAATAATATCTTTATTTTTTTAAATACACTATAGTAATATTTAACATTTCACATCAATTTTATTTAAAGAATTAGTTTGTATAAATACAAAATTCATTTGATTTATTTTAAATATTAAATATTTTAACATGAATGTTAATATTTTTTTATATTTTATAATTAATAAATTATCTTGTACAAATTAATTTTCTTGAAGTTTAATTCTTAAATTAAATAAGATGAGTAGTTTTTTACACTTGAATCTTGATTATTTGATTGGAATAGTTTATGTAAGAGATGATTTATCTTAGATGTTATATATATAGTTAAAATATATTATTTTTATACTCAATATTCATATATATTATGATTTTTACTATCTGTTATATTAATTTTTTAATTTTTTAATTTTAAAAACAAATATTAAATATAACTTGAGTTAGTCCGAATAATTGAAATCCGTAAAAGACCGAGTTTAGACAATTTAATTTTATCTTATTTAAATTCTGAGCTTTTAAGTTCAATCAATCAAATCTTTCACGTACCAGTCTGAAGTGGATTATGGATGTCTACTATTTAGTCTAAGTATTTTAAAGTATTATTAGGCTATTTTTTAAAAGAGGAATGTTATTTGAATATTTCTTTTCTTTTCTTTTTTTAAACATTTTTGGGATATTTTTTTATTTGTTTTTATAGGACAAAAACAATAAAAAAACAAAAATAAAAAGAGAAAATAAAAATACAATGAGAGAGTTGTCACAAAATTTGTCAAAAAATAAGTGTTCAAATAACTATTCTCTTTATAAAATGGCCAGTTAAACTAATAGAATTAAATATTTTACATAATTCATTGATACGAAATCGGTAGGCTTGAATAAAATTCTCGAATCTCATATTATTTACATATTAAAATATATTATTGAAGATTAAAATATAGTCGAAATTGTAACTTTTCAAAAAGTTATATTTAAAAAATTATTTTTATGAAAAATTATTTGAAATAGCTTCAAAATTAAGTAATATTTTGAAATTTTGATATCCAAATTTTATTTTGATAAAATAGTGAAATACCTAAAATAATATTTTAAAAATAACTATTCAAGTCAAATAATCATTTTAAATTTTTATGAAAAATTCCTTTAAAAAATATTTTTATACAAAAATATGTTACACTAAAAAAAATCATTTTTATACAATATTTTTAATACATGGAGTTAACGCATCTCTATAGAATCGAATTGTAAAGTGATGAGTTTTTTTTAAACTCTACCAGCTACTAATATAGGATTTGATATTTCACAGTTGTATTATCTTAGAAATTCTTAATTTGATCTAATTCAACATTGCAAAACATATTTGTTAGGTCGAGAATGCTCTCATTTATAAATTTATTTTTATATCACATATTATGGAATGTGAGACTTTTAACATACATTTTCACACTAAATACTATTGAATTTGGTGTTTGGGTATAAATTATAGGTGACACAATGAGAGAAATTTAATAATAAATGGTTCAAGAGATTTTAAGCTTGATAATATATTATATTAAGGATAGTTAAGTCTTTTGATCCTTAGTATATATTATTTTCGTCTTTAATTATAAGATTCTCTTGAGTTTTTTTCTTGTCCTTGTTTATAAGATCTTTTTCAATTTTCAAATTACATTAATTATTTTTTTCAAATATAACCCTAATTATATTATATATTTTTCTGCATACACATTAACTATATCTTTCTCCTAAAAATAAACTTGTAAAATTATATAAAATAGTTAATAAATTTATTACTCTAACAAACTTTTTTAATTCTCGTAATTTATTCAACAAAGTTTTATATTTAAAGACGAGTAATATATATTTTTCTATTGATTTTTGTTGAAATATTTTTCGTTATTCCTAATGAAATCCTAGAAACTTTATCTTCTCTCTTTTTGTGTGAATCGCTAATATTAATAAACCTCTGATGTTAATATGGTTTCAAAGAATGTGGTTGACTCTATTAGGATCTTGGATGTTTGATGACAACTCTTATTCAACCTCTACAATCTTAAATGCAATTTGTTATACTATTAGTGTTTGTGAGTAGACATGTTTGCTATATTGGATTGTGTTATGATTTGTAGCAATGATCAATAATAAAGATGATTCTCTTTCATCGGTTATTGTCTAATTGAATGAAGAAAAAAAAACTTTTTTTGGAGTTATGAAATAAAAATAATTTTAAAAGAAAAAAGATATAAAGTTATGTTGACGAAACTACTGTTAAGCCCACAGATAAAAAAGACGAAGTAAAATATATAAAAGTGTTAGATATATGAAATGTTAGTGATTCAAATATCTTTACTCGGAACAATAATTTTGTTTCTCAGCCAATATATATGAAACTAGTAAAACATAATAGTGTTGATGTTGTTGTTGTTGTATTTTAGATTAATCTTTTAATATTGGCAATAATAAAAACACTTCATAATTTTATTGCTTTCCTCGATTGAAAATATCAGGAAATTTATTCTTAAACATGCTGTAAATAGTGAATAGTAAAAATTTAAAAAGGAAACAAGACATGTTACTTTCAATTTTTTATCATTCACTATTTTTTACAAGTAATATATTACCTCAGTTTTTTTTTTATAAAACCGATGGAAAAATCCTTAAATTATTTAGGTTTTTAATTAAAAAAGAAAAACCATTTTCCTCGATTTTAAAAAGAACCAAAGGATTTAGTTACTCACCTACAACAACGAATCCATGTCTTGCATTCATAAAATAACAATGCTCAAGATATTTTCAACACATTAATCTACAAGAAACTCACTATATATCTAGTACGCTTTCTTGTGAAAGCATTTGCCATGAAAACAATGATAGTGCAATCTTGGAACAAATCTTTGGGGTGGATTGCAAGTGCATAAATTTTTTCTCAAGGATTGGTTACATAATAACTTATCTTCTAACTTTATATCAGAAATTAGATGCATGCAAAACTATTGAACTTGAAAGAATGCGTCCAAAGGGTATACAACAAAATCTATAAAACAACAAAAATTTGTTATTCTCCAAGAAAAACAACGATGATGATGAATCGAATTTGTCAAAATTAAGATTTGTTGTTCTCCAACAATTAAAAACTTTGTATTTTAATTAAAAAAATTGATATTTGTAAACAATATAATTTAATATTCTATTTAAACAATTAAATTTGTATTAAAAAAACTTTTATCCCCTCGATTTTTGAAAGAAACTTAATGTGAAGTTGGTATTTTATTGTATTTTTTTATTTAAAAAGAAACACATTTTACCTCTTTTTTAGTTAAAATCGAGGGGGAATATAAGCATATTTATTGATTTTTTCAGTGCCCTTAAACAAATCTTTATCGTTCATTTAGTGAGTATCAACGCTCAAGATATTTTTATTAGTGATCCAAGTAAAACCTAAAAGACATCCATTATAAAATCATTTTAAATATCAAATGAATACCATTAGTGATAATGAAAGCAATTGATATGAAAACATTGAAACTTAAAGAAGCTTGAAAAAGTTCTATATGATGGTTTGCAAGAGATGAAAAATATTTTAGTTTAAGGTTTGTTTTCTTAAATAATCATATAATTGAATATTTATTTTATTTATCTAACCTTTTTTTTTGTTTTATATTAGAAACAAATGCAAACAATATTCAACATTTGATCTTCTCCAAGATTCAATGATTCGAAGATCCAACTTCTAATCTTCACTGACAGTGATGATGATGAATCATATTCAAAATTTGTTATATGTTTTTACTTTAATATTTTGTGTAAACAATGTAATATTATATGTAAACAATGTAGTTTGTAAACAAATTAATTTATTAATATTCTGTGTAAAAAATGTGATTTATTTTTTAAAAAATAATTTATTTTTCCCGTGTTTTGGTCATAAACCAAGTGGAATATAGTGTTAGTTTTGAAAATATAAAAAAGTTGTTGTTAGAGATCGAACCAATGACCATTTCAACTATCTCATCGGTAATTTTAAAACCGAGGGATAAAGTGGCAAGTTTTCATGAAGTCATCCGATACCTCAACTTTATAATCGAGGTTAAATCTCCTTCGCGTCTGAGGTCAAATGTGTTTTTTGTAGAAGTGAATCTTGGTTCGAATCACATATTTTCAAGAATCTAATCATGTGATTCAAATCACATAATGTGTGAATCGAATCACACAATAGGTTTCTTATATGTTCTTGGTTCTTGATTAAAATCACTTGATCGTTTGACTCAAATCATACTCCTTGCTTATGACTCAAATCAAACACACTTTTCACTCATTTTTGTGTTAGATATCCAACACATATACAATTATTTTCACTCAAAACCTTTCATAATGTTGGAAACATACACTTAAACTATTGATTTAAAATTTCTTAAACAGTTGTTCTCTCATTTTCAAAAGAGTGTTAAATCTTTTTTAAGTGTTTTGCAAATGAATTATTTCATCTTCTACCTCACTCTCTTTCATTTATCAGATAGATTTAAATCACATATAAAATCATTTTCACTCAAA